TGAATGAATAACACAGGAAGAAAAGATGTGAGAGTGGACCAATATAGTAATATCTTGCATTAGTAAGAACAACAACATCAACAAGATGAAAGAAGATGTTGTATTAACGTCATCTCAACTGAATTCTCTTACTCTCTATCGGTGCTAGTAATGCTGAGCTTACAAGTGGCTGTCCCTATTGTCGTTCTCTTAGTTTTTTTTTTCTTCTACTCTTCTACATATATATATGTGTAGATTGACTATGTGCTCGCGCACACGTACACATAGAAAAGAGAGCAAAAGAAGAGAAGAAGAGAGAAAAAGGCAAAGAAACAGAAAAAAAAGCTTGTTATTAACATAAAAAAAGTACACGAACTAGACAAAGAGCGATCGTGTATGTATGCGTATGTGTGCGCTCTCGATCGAGTTCGGATGTTAGCAATAACGCTTGCTGTGCAGAAGAAAAAGAGACGAGCATCGGCAGAAAAAAAAAGATTTGACGCTCTTCCGTCAATAAGAAAAAACAAGAATATGTCAAACTGTCGATCTAATGGCATCTGTGATTTGGTTTTTCTTCTGCATCAATGCCAGCCCTTTTATTTCCATGCAAGGAATTAATTAAAATGAAATCATCCTCTAAATATGGCAATGATCAGAGATCGTCTACGTAAATAGAATGCATAGACGATGACCAATCCGGCCGAAACAAAAATAAATAGAAGCTCATCCGAAGCGAGATGATGCAAGAGAATATTCATAGATGTGCATGTATACATAGATGTATGTATATATGGGCTTCTCTTCACCGCCGCCTGGTCTCACGTCTAGAGCACGTATCATCTTTTTTTTATGCTAATTGACTGTGGATATATGTATTGCATATGTGTGTATGAACGCGAGTATAACTTGAATAGAAAAAATATGCAACTCGCCAGTCGTTTCGAGATAATATGATTAAATCATAGGTAATGTACATAGACAGAGATGATCGATCGTGACAGTGACACATACATAAATAACTATCACGATTCATTGTCTTTTCAAAACAACCCCTGAGTGTAGAGCGCCCTGCGACGAGAACATTACAACTTACGTTGAGGTATAGCAGCATGATTGTTCCATCCAACACTTGGATCGTACTGGACTAAGGAAGGATTACGAATGCAATTCTGTATTAAATTCTCACGATGATTATCCGAGACAATCACGATCTAATTAAAAAATTTCCAGATACAATATTTGAACAACAAAAGTAAGACACTCATTCACTTACATCTTGAACATAGCCATAGAAACTTGTTCCACATATGTGAAGTTTTCTATCACCAAATAAACTAAAGTATCCGGTGAGATTGGTATAATGTCGAGTTTCATAATCAAATGTCAAGTCAAGCTATTAAGATAAAACAAGAAGAAGAAAAATGCTAGCTATCAAAATGATTGATAACAGTACTGTATTTGATGTTTTTTGACATTGCAACGTATGCCATTGATCGCCTCTTACTCGACCGGGAAAATCATACGTGTACATAGCGGCGCCATTTTGTATTAGAAGGCGTGGATAGTAATTCTTTGAAGATCAAATTGAAAATTGTCTCAAGTGCATGTCTATAAAACATTTTTATCTTTATTTACCTGAAGAACAATTGAAACTTGAACAGGACCGTCTCTCGATAGATAGAGTGTGGAATTGCCTGATGTGGTGAAGATAGTAAAATCAATCTGTTCACGTTGGCCGGGTCCAATTTGTGTTGAGTAACGAACTAAACCATTATTTGCCATGTCGACGGATGTTGGCGCGCAGACCATCGAGCAATCTGACTGACCGCAGAATTGTAATGGTCGAATACTGTTACTACATGGTACTTGTCGATCACACATCGTTCCTTGTTGATAGAAACAATCATATCGATCAGATTTCAAGACCCCTTCGGGTAACAATGGTTGACGATTGTATGTTACATTAGCAAAACATCCAACAAATGGTTTATTTGCTGCATCTGTCATTAAACGATACGATCCGCCAATCGTTACCACATCGAAAAACATCGGCGAACTTTCAGGAACCGAAATGGGCGTTGAACGTTTGTCAATTTGTACATATATATTATCATGGGATGTTGTTTCAGGTATCTGTCGTGTTACTAAAATCCGATGCTGTTTGCCGTCATTAATTGTTTGATTGTCGTTGAATATAATTTGCGATGTTTTATTCAATGGTGAGTAATATTTCAGTTGTAGTTTACCATCTTTTAAACCAAGAACTAGACCGCGTTGATCGTCGTTCGAATACATGGAAGTAATGACCCCATTAGCCGACAATGTTTTGATCGGCATTTGACAATATCGAAATTCATCGTTCGGCTGAACTTGCAGTTCGATAATGTCTCGACGATCACGCATAGAAAAGCTGACATCAGGTGCAACATAGGAGATGACATGTTTACCTAAATAAGAAATCAAATTAACTGATCAACATCCAAAGTACTTCTAATCGTATTTTGATGTCTCTATGATTTGATTGAATGACTATTCCGAGCGATTCCACTAATAGTCTTTGCTTTTAAGATCTAGTTAATTTGATAAACATCGATTGGAGCTGATTCGATTTCATTAGATTTACTTTCGTCTAGAATTTCTCTTCAAACAAAACAATCGTGAAATTTAATGAAATCTGAGAACGACAGTTGTTGCTTTAGTAATGCGAAAGAGAAACTCGTTGTCCTTCGATAAATATTGCTTGAAAATGCTTAATGATCAAACAACATGTCTGTTGAGAGTTTATTTTAAACTACGAGGATGTTTTCATTAAATTCAATAAACGAATAGTTAAGAATAAGTGCTCTCGACGTGTAAAATCAATGAACTTGACAAGAGTGCTCTTGCCTGAAGGAACTTCTCCTCGAAAAACGAAGTGCTTTGTACACACTTGATTTACTATTCAAAATTGTCAACAATGATTGACGAAATGAATGTTGGAGATAATAATTATCTTCATTTGGTGTCTCACCAATGATCAGATCGAGAGATCTGTCGATCAATTCGATTCAATCATGTGAAAATGTAGTAGAAAGATCGATATTGATTAACTTACGTCCACGTTTTGATAATTGACAAACATTGGTCAGTCGTCCGGCATGATGAATATGATCTAGTTTGATAACAGCTCGTTCATTTAACATGACATTCTTAATACAGCCAACGAAGTTATCACCATCCAAACTCGCATGCTTTTCTTTGAGAAAACTATCCAGTTGGCCGATGTAAATCGTTTGAATACGAAATGTTTCGCTGATTTTCTTCATCACCACATTTCCGTCGAGTTCAACAATGAAATCGTTTTTATTGATTAATTTCACCACTACTTCATGATCGCGTCCATCGTCGACCGGACCAGTACCGTTCAAGAAGATCTTCAAACGCTTTCGTTGTTTATCATCGAATGTTAACAATAGACGTGCATTGTAAATACTCAACGTAAGAAAATTAGTATACGTTCGGTCCGCTAGTGAACAAATAATACTATTCGATTCTTGTGTGTAGAATACAAGTGAAAATAATCGAAAGTCTTCCGGATAATCAATGGGGACAATCAACGGTCGATCGTATTCCTTGAATGAAATGATTTGGTCAATGAAAATATTGCTCGTCGAAAGAACTTCAGCTGATTTTAACACAATACTGCTCGATGGACATTGCTGTCGGTTTGATGATAAATGTTTGAAGGAAATAACTTGCTCATTGTAAGTCACATTTTCTAAACAGCCAATGAATTGACTACGTGGGCCGAAGACAAAACTATCAATGTTCAATTTCGCTGATGACAATTCCATGGAAATTTTCTTGGCAGACTGGAAACTATTCTTCTTCATGATCCATGCTTCGATATTCTTGTCCGTACGTTGTAAATGAACGCTATAGATACTTCCATCATTGATAGGTTTTTGTTCGTCGTTGGATGAAATCCGCTGAGCTTGTTTATCACGAATAACTAATGCCAAGTATCCATCAACGTCAATGTTCAAACTAATTGGACCGAATTGCATTAGTGTGCTGACGTTTGAACGTGTCCGAAAGGAAAATGATAAGGTATTGAAAGGATTATTTGTTGGTGATGGCACAACAACTTCGCTATTATCTGTCCGAAGGAAACCAACGATCTGCTTGGTTTGAGATGATTTCATATCGACAACAACAAATATTTTATCGCTTGATGATGGTATAGATGATATCAAAGGCGTCGATGATTCTTTTAGATTGTCTTCATTCTCATCAGTTGTATCTTCTTCGCGAAGATTTAATGATCGGCCTGCATTCGTTACCAGAATCTAGATAAATAAAAAGACATCTTTTCATATCAAGATTCCTTTCATGTCAGAAATCTTTTGCTCAGCAAATCGTCTCTCGTCTTTTTCATTATGCGCATATCAACTCGTCTACCTTCGCATATTTTGATCGATGAGCGTCTGAACATTGTCTATCAATTATATCCATTATCTAAAAAGTATGTTCGCAACATACAATTTTGACAGGTGATATGGTTTATTCACATAGACACCTGAGAGTGCACATATGAAACGATCATCAAAGGCATACAGCGGGAGTACAGTGAAATGATAAATGAAATTGGCTCTTTTGAAATGTTGATACAAAAGTTATCAAAGACTAATTTCTTTTATGAAAACAAAATTGTGTATCGGAGCAGAAGATGTACAATACAATTTGTCATTATTAGACGAGGTTGACAATCGATAATATCTCATTATTTATAAATACGTGAAGTTGAATTTATTCAGCTAATACGCTTGAAAGAACTTTCAAAAGCTTGTCTACCTGCGCTACTTGAAAATATCACTCGCGAATGTTTCGTCAACAACGTTCAATAGAAGAGAAGAAACGAATATCTAGCTATCTCTTTTTTCTCTGTCAACTTACATCACCAAGTTTTCCATTAAAATCTCCATTTGGCACTGGTGTTAATTCAGCTCCGATGAATATGTTCGTCTTTGTTTGCCAACCATCCGGTAATTGCATATCTGATTGTTCGGTGTTGTCGAGCTGAAATCGTAGCTAAACATGCAAATGAACAATTAGTTCTAAAAGAAAAATGAAAGACAAATTTACCTTTCGATTTACTCGTTCAATATTCAATTTATGCCATTGACCATCATTAATATTAATCGGATTATTCTCTTTGCTTGTTAGGACCACATCAGGAAGATCGTCTTGCGAAAAAATGATTTTCGGTTTGCCTTCTTCGATATCGAAAACATAATAAATGTTGTCATAGGCAAAGCCAGCGAGAATAGTCGTTGTCGAAGACGATTGTTGTTTGGACAGGACAGAGAATGAAATTGCTTCAGATAAAGTATAATCTTCTTCATCGGTTAAATACTTCGTTCGAACATTGAATGGTAATGGATATTCACTAACCGTTTTAGGTATTAAGCGATTGCTATTTAAGGATGCTTCGGTAAGAGTACCACCTAGACACATAGAAATATGTATGCGTAAAACATAAGTATGAATAGAAGATGACGAAAGTATAGGTCTTTCGTCTGACTAATTTTCACTAGTACAGAAGACAAGCAAAAGAATCAAAATCGAACATTTATTATTCCAGTTGAACTCTTGCTTAAGCATGTGTGAAGATGAAAATGCATCAACGTCTCATTTCTTGTGTATTTATTGAGTTCAAGAGCCTTACCAGTAGTAAAAGTCTCATTGAATGAAGACAACAACGACGACGACGACGATGATGACGGTGGTGATGACGTATTATTTATGTTGTCATCATTCAACAAGTTCAAATGTTGCTGTTGACATCGATATATTTGCAAGGAAAATAAGATGACAAGAAATGGAAGCGGGTTGGTAAACGACATCAATTTTTGATTAGAAATATGTAATGATGAGATTCGTGATTAGGATAGATTGATCATTCAAAGAACTTAACATCGCGCACATGAGTGATGTGTGAGAGCGCATCTATGTTGAGAGAAAAAAAAAATATATAGATGTTTTATCTCTCGGTCTCTCTCGTTCTCTCATTATCGTTGTGTAGGCTAGTCGATGACCATCACCAAAAATGTAGAGAGAAAGAGAGAAGAGAAGAAAGAAAGATTTCTCGCTTTTTTATATTGGCTAGTGTAAGTTATACACACAGTTCAACATCTTTTCTATGTTGTTCGGTGTGTATGTGTGTGTATATTGTTGGTAGATGAGAACGGATGATGAGGATGGAAGAAGAACAGGAGAATGAACTGTGAGTGACGAGTAAAGAAATGAATGCAAGTAGGGAGAAGAGAGAAAAATACTCNGTTGTTTTCAATGATACAAGCGGAATACTCGATGACGTCGAGGCACTACTCGATGAGAGATAGGTGGCATTAGTAATCTGACTAACTGTAGTAGTTGTTGATGATTGAGATGATTGTCGTTTAAAATTAGCTAAGCGATTTGTTCGTGTTTTCCCAACAGATGGTTCATTAGTTGGCACAATTATCGATGGTGTTGGAGTGTTTAAATCAGCTGTGGATGACGCAAGTGTTGACTGTGAGTAGGCAAAATTTCGACAAGCGGGATAGTAGAGTAGAGAGAGACCACCGCTCGCCGAAGAGGCTAAGGTTGATCGACTAAATGCAAGATTCGATATGCCAGCTGTTACTGGTAAAGTTAGTTCGAATTCTTCTTCAGGTATTCGTTCACATGGTGCAGCGAAATGTCGATGTTCGTGTACAGGTCGCGACCGTTCGGATAGGAATGATACGGAAGTGAAAACGCTTGCTTGGTCATCGTCATCATCATCATCGTCGTCATCAATATCAGCTCTTAAACCACTTCTCAAAGTACTTTCCATTGGTGTTAACAGCGATGTCGGTGGTAATGATCGATTATAACGAAAGAATTTCTGCGAAGTTTTCTTCTTCAACCGACGAAAAGTTTGAAGCGAAGCGAAGACAAGTCCCATGATTAACCAAAGGAAACAGATCGAACCGAAGAGAATCAGAAGACGTTTGAACATACTTGCAAAGTATGATGAGTCATAACCTTGCTCAGCAGGTTTCGTTGATATAAGAGTAGCATTTGTTGACATGGTCATAATACTAGTTGTCGATGATATAATTATCATTTTATATATGAACATGTTCGATTTTATGACTAGAAAACATTGAGAGGTAAGAGTAGTTGACTTGCTAGCTATATTATTATTATTACTGCTACTATTACCAATGTGATGAATGTTGGCCACAGGAGATCGATCCGTTTACTTAAAAGAACGACAGTAGATCGAACGATCGGAGGCAAGAATAACAGAGGAAAAAGAGGGAGAGAGAGAGAGAGAGGGAAAAAGAAATATTATAATTGCTTCTAGCTTGTCTCTTTACCTCCTACCGAACAACAACCGATGGAAAAGCTAGAAACTCATGTTTAATTTATATTCGATCAACTATGATTCGATGTTATATACTAAAGAATACAATCACACTATATCGACATCGATCATCTCCATGAACATGAAAGACAAAAGGCAACACGAAGGCCAAGAGACAGCGAAGAAAATAAAAAATGAGTAAAAATCGATTGAAGAGTTTGAGTGACATAAACTCAGTAACACTATTACACACAAGTATTATGATATGCTCGAAAGAGGCGGATTTTTGCGAGAATTGAGATTCATCAGCTTTTATCTTTCTCTTGTTTGATGTCGATAGAATAGATCAATATCTCTGGGATATTGATTGACAAATTACCATTTTTTTATGTTTGCCTTCTCGCTGGATGCATTGAGAAAAGGGTGTCTAGTGTTCTTAGTTTCTATCGTATGTTGCTACATCGTCTTTCCTTTCTTTTTTTTCGGGTTTTTATCCTATTTCATCCGTTGTCCCAGATGCGAATAAGGGTGAAGAAACGGAAGGGAAAAATTAGTGCGTAGGCATAACACATTCAGCCAGACGAAGTGCGTATAATCATCTGTCCAACATGATTGTCCTCAAAAAGAAATTCATCGACATACTGAACTTGATTCCCTGACTTCAACCAATCGTAAGGAACTAATGCATCTAATTGAATAGACATACTTAAAAGGATTCCATATTGACACCTGCTTATCTATCAATGTCATCGTCGTGGAATATAAGTCATTCAATGTCAATGAATTCATTTGTTTCGATATATGCACTAGACCAGATGGAATAACTTTCTTTTATATTGTCTTTTTCTCTCTTTTGTGTCTAATTACATTCCGATAACTATTTATTTACATTCATGAATGTGTGTATACACGTTCGTTCGTTCGTTTGTGGCAGATAATAGCAGGTAATTGGCAAGAACAAAGAAAGTATGTGTGACTTATGTGATTCGACGAGTAATGATAGTCTTTTTGCTTTCTTGTCCTATTATCTTTTCTCGCTTGTCGATCTATCTATTATAAAAAAAAAGTCTCAAAGGACAATAATGTTACTATCTACTCTTAAAATAGGGCTTGTTGACGAAGTCGCCTGGCCAAGATATGTGTTGATTATGAGAGGGCGGAAGTGTCAAGAGAAAGAATCGCAAAGAACATAAGCTCAGGGTTGTTAAGTTTCGAGGATTAACGTCATTCAACATCGACTTAACCGATAAAGAGAATAGAAGTGTTATGAGGAAACAAATGCATTATTAAAAAAACCCGAAGAGATCTATGAATTTCTACGGATGAAAACGTGTCAGATAACAATAGAAATGAAAAACCATATTTCATGTCAGTTTACTTCCAACGAGATAGATAGATTTCTGGCTGAATAAAATGATGAATGATAATTGGATTTCTGTTTCCTTTCTCTCTTTCCAGTTACATTATATATGGGAGGTGATTGAATATCAATTAATATGGAATATCCGGCCTTTTACCATTTTGTTTGTTCAGGTGATAACGGACATTTGATCGTCAACGAGTTTTCCCTCCATTGGACATTATCCGAAAAGACATCGAAGTTGTACTCGATCGTAGAATCAATCTCTCAGCAAATAAATATTGATTTTGACGAAACAGAAATCTATTTATCTTGAGATAGTTGCTAGAAATATCCGCTCTGATTATTATGATTATTTCTATACTGATGACAAATGATTAACTCTATTTACCCTACTCAAAATTGCAGTTAGATGGGAAAAGCATACTATTCTGTTTAAGTGTTTCCTTTGAATCGCACCGATGAAATCTGCATGTCTTGCCGTAGTCAAACTGCTGTTTGGCAATGTCCTTTCTCTTTGCACTTGCAAATTCTATCTTTGGAATGGTTCTTGTTGAAGTCGTTATGAATCAAATTGGAAAATTATTAAGTACACATTTATTTTCTCATCTGGTCAAAAAAAACCAGCGAGAGTACAAAAGAAAGAAATCAAGAAGAAAAGGGAAAGAAAACAAGCATAATCCATAAATAAATTGTAACTAAAAATATTTTTCTTACATGCATACATACCAATCATATCGAGAAATGAGAGAGAGAGAGAGAAAGAAGACACACACATACATAAATACATACAGAGAATGTAATCTCGACAAGCCAATTGGGACCAAGAAAGAAAAAGAGAGAAAGAAGTCAAAATCTAAATAAATAGTTTAATTAGATTCATATTCGAAAAGGAAATAATCGATGCGGTTATCATACTTGAAATTAGTTTTGTAAGAACTAATTGAATCATTTGTTCCTGTTGAAGTTCTTCGTTTCGGTGATTGTTGGACAATCGTATAATTATTCATCAGAGAATTAGCAGAAAATAGTTTGTACCAATCTAAGACTTGAGCTGCAGTACTACTTAAACGGAGATCTTCAACATTGATTTGACAAACACCCATGAAGACTTTGCGATCTAGCTTTCCATAATCACCCCAAACACCAATCTAGAAACGAAGAATAGATTCTTAGAAATTCAATTCAGAATGTTTACCTGTAGAACTTTATCCCGATAATTTTCTTTGAAGATCAATGTTTGTTGTATCAATGGATCTAATGTTCGACGTGTCGTTCGTGTACGTTGTTTTTCAACACAAGTTTTGCCATCGAGTAAATACACTTTTACATACGGAGCTTGAATAAAAGAAACGTAAATTCATCAATAAATATGAATACAAAGAATCAACATACCGGGTGGCATTTTGTATAGAGCTTTCTGAAGTAAATTTCTCGCCCGAACAATTTCCACTTCGAGTAAGCCGTGTTGATCACGAAGACCAACTTGGATTTCACCATGACAGGGAGAAGCAAGAACTTGTCGACCAACTAACTGTCCAGCACCAAGACCTTCGATAAAGTCAGCGAATTGATGTTCGTGTGGTAATCTAAGTGCACCGGACCATAATCTATGAATTAGAGAAAATGCTTTTAGTTTACGCGAATTGAGCATTTGGAACTGAGACATTTCATGTACATTATTGCACAATGCCTGAAGCGGTTCGGCATGGTCTATGAAACATCGATTGCTTTTAGTTACGACAGAAAGTAATTCTGACAGTTAACATTAGAGAAAAATCACGTAAACTGATGGTTATTTATAAATAAATGGATAAAACAAAAGTTTTTTTTTTCTGCATTTGTAATAGGATTATTCTACTTGAAACTAAAAAGGATCTATTGTACAGTGTACAGAATGGGAAGAAGTTCAGATTACTCGAAGAGAAATTCGATTAACCGAGTCGGAATCGGAAAGATCTTTGATAAATTGTATTGTATTCCGAAAGGGAATTCAATCAATTAAGTTCAATTTCAAACGATTGTCGTTCGGTTTGTTTTCTAAAGTGAAGAGACTTACTTCATATCATGTGGCATGGAATGATATTGATCACGTTGATGAGACAGTGCCAATGGCGACTGAGAAACATCTGTTGCCGGTGCACTCGTTGGCGTTTCATTTTCTTTACTCGTTTGCTTTTGTAACGTTCGACTACGTAAATGAGGTTGAACACCGATCTCTTCACTGCGTTGAAAACCGAAACGTTTTCCTAGAAAAGAGAACATCATAAATCATATAGTATCGTCAGCAATCGATCTGCGATATATTTACCACAGCCAAGATTAGATGTACTGTTTGTCTTCTTTGATAAGCCAAGTATGACAAGTGCTTTCGATGACATCGATGGACGACGCTTTTTATTTGATTCACCAGGCTGTGAACTCAGAACAGAATCAGATAATGTTCCATCATTACGCGGATCTGTCTTCGACATTGCAGCTGAGTTAATTAGTTTATCACTGAACGGCGTCGATGATGCTGTCATATCGGGCTTTGCTGCAGTGATGGCGGCTGCTGCTGCTGCCGTGGATGCTGTCGTTGATGGTGGTGGCTGCCTCACTGTATCATGTGTACTCATAGCAATCTGTCGAAGTTCTTCTTCGTTTAGTTGAACCTCATCGTCGCGATGGAAATGATGATGTTCATGTAAGCGAGTGTGAGCTCTAGAGACGAAAGGTAAAGATCGTTTGATGTGCAGAACGAAATAAAAGATGATTTAGATCATACCCTGTTTTTCGAACGTTTCGAGGCCGTTCTGATTGCGTTGATAACATACTAACTGAACTAATCTTGGAAACAGTGGAGAGTTCCGATCCGTCGGAATCTACATCATCACCGGGCGTTTCTGAAGGTTCTACAAAATGAACTTTTGAAGACAAGTTTGCATCAATAGATTTCTTCGTACCTCTTCTTTTCGGATTTCTTCGGTATTTTTCTTCAAAAGATTTTAATTTGGATTTCTCTAAATCAACTCGATTTTGTCCAGCTGATGTTGTACGCCTGGTTAATGCTGGATTGAGATACGGTGTATTTGGCACGCTTTTATCTCGGATAATCGGTATTCGAGGTCGTGAAGCGGTTTTTTCTTTCAAACCGGAATTTTCTATTGCTGTACTTGAGGGCGTTTTCTGTGCCAGATTCGTCATGGATTCGTATGGTTTCGTTACTAATGGTGTTTGATGCAGATGTGGAGAATCAGTATCAATGGATTTGCTAGTTTGAAATGATGAACGTTGTGTTGCCGTTGGAGGTAGTTGGTGGGCTTCGTTATTAAATATTTGTATCCGATCTTCATACATTTGTCGTTTTTCATTCAGATTCGTTTCATTCAGTGACCGTTGTTGTTGCATATGAAGACGTAGTTTTAACTGTGTGGCTTTTTGAATTAAATCTTGCGAAACTGAAATACGTCATTGAAGACAAACAAGAACTTCAGTTTACTTTTTACAAACCTTTTTCTCGATTGGCATGTAATTGAGCTGCAGGAATATTTGGCAATTGTCTCTTACGATTGCTTGCTTGAGTTCTAGAAGAGAAATCAGGATTTCATATGAAGAAAATGAATGATTAGTTTGAAGTTCTTTACGTGTCAATCATTGATGGTAATACTTCATTGTTCGTATGGAAAGTTGGAAGAACGCGATTGAATGATGATTCTAATGAAAGATTTGAAATAAACCGACTATATTGACAAAAATTTTACCATGTTGTTCGAGTTCAGATGCATCACTATCACTTTGGGTAAAACGTTTGCCTGGCAGACGCCGTGTCGGAGTATATTTCGGTGTCAAAGTGTACCATTCTGGTATTCCATTGAAATTTAAATTTGCGTCAGTTAATGTAATACAAATCTATGAAAGGAAACCCTTGATTTGTTCTTTCCGAAAATAGATTTTACTTCGCCAAGAACTTCTTGATTACGGTCAAGATCGACTAATTTGATCCATAGAGAAAGATTATCTAGTGTATTGATGTCGAAAAAGATAATGCGTTGATTCCATGTACATGCACCAGACGAACACGCTTGTGGCTTCGTACATTTTTGTTCCTTTGATCTAAACACACGATGGGAAACGTGAATTTATCGAAAACGAACGAATTGATTTCTCTCTGAATGACAGTTGATATTCGATGTAGAGAACAAGGTTTTTCGAACGGATTTTGCCGATTCGAATCTAATTGATTAACATAGTCAATTCTCCGTAGGACATTATCAACAAAATCGAGAGTAAAAAGTATTATTTACATGATGAATATTGCTCACAATGGTCCACGGGGAGTTCTTTCTCGAATTCACTTCTCTGCATAACAACGAACTCGCTCAATTCTTTTGTTTTATTCCAAGGAACTTTCCTTTCCTTTTACAATAGTCACTCGATTACATAAAGTCATCATGAGATACACTAATCAACTTTTATCAATGTTATAGAACAAGAACGGCAATGTTAATCTAGTTTGCGATGTCAAGTATTTTGTTTATAACATCGTCAAGCTTATTCTTAAGAAAATCACTACTTCACATTTCTCAATATTGCTCCTCGAGTAGATGGAAATTGATATGTTGATGGTGTCGAGGAGAGATTTTTGATTTTCAAATATTCATTATTAGTAACTGTACGGAAGGTTAAGTAGCGAAGTAATAAAAAAGCAAACGAACAATACATGTGTTACTATGGAATCCAGGAAATCTCTCAATTGTCTACGGGAATAGTGTGGATTTCATCCTGCATAAATTGTCAAATTTTTGCATAGTAATCAAAAATATCAACTGTCATTCAATAAATTCCTGTCAACTTCGATTGCAAGCTTGAAGTCTCATTCACAAAAACCTACAAGGAATCTCGACCATATTGTATAGATAATTGACAAGCAAATGATCCTTGTTGAAGATGAAGATCTCTAGCACCGTGTACTGTAACATGAAATTCTCGTCGATGAGTGTGATATTGAAAGGAAAGCTAAAATACAAAAGATTTCATTTGATTGATTGGTTGTCTTCGCTCTGTTCGTCTGAGAAAAATCTGATGTATACTTGTAATCGAATATTGTTTTCATTCTTCCTTGTTGTTGTCTCGTGTTCTAAATAAAATATACACAGTTGGGTATAAATATAAATATACATATATATCTTCGAAAAAAAAATACATGTTCACATATATTTGTTTTATCAAAATAAAAAAGAACGACGCGGAGATGTCGTTACAGCAGATGAGGAAGAATGAGTTCTTGTCGAAAAACATTGTGAACAACAAGAGAAGAAACGATGGTCAAATATTGATGTTTGATTGGAATTAGAGATCTGGCCTGCTAGACGTGTATTACTACCAAATGATGATGTGGATGTGTTTGTTTTCGTAATTGAACGTTTTTGTGAAAAACGTGAATAGATATTTCGAAACGATTCAGTCAGCCTTTGACTAGTCGTTGAAAGAGATGTTTTTCTTCCAGTTATGTCTAATTCACTTGCTTGCTGAGATGTATTTAATGATTTATTTCCGCCTAAGCCAGAGTAGTCATCAGTTATATCTAATTTCGAGAGACTCAAATCAGATTCCGAAGAATTTTGTCGTTCGAATGACGATGAGGGTGCTGAAGAGACTACTGTTATTGGCGGAGATAATGGTAGAGGTGGAAACGTTTCAGTTGGAGCTGTTGAGTGAGATAAATTCGAGAGACGTTTAGAAAGACGCACAAGAACACTTGGTCGTTCGACACGTTGTGCCGGTTGTTGTTGTTGCTGCTTGATTGGTAATCCAACGGAAATCATCCCATTATCGTTCTCACACCCATTGTCGTTTTTGAACACGACATTATGAAATACAACCATTCGTGTTGATGGTTGTTCTGTCAATGTCATTGAGCTCAACGTTTGTCGTAATGAACTTCGGCAGAAAAGGGCGGCGTGCAACAGAAGTATAGTATTGGTGACTATTTTCTTCCTCCTTTCTCCCTGTCTCTACTTCTCTTTTACGAACTCTGCTGAGAGTCGTACACTGCCGTTAAAAAGAAACGAAGAGAAGAAGAAGAAGAGGAAAAAAAAAGATTTAGTATTCCGACGGCAAAAGGAAGCGAAAGATGAGAAAAGAATGAAGTATAAGGCATTTACAAAGAACGAGTATTTGTCCAAGCTGTTGTGTGTCGTCGTTCTTCGTGTTCTCCTCCTGCTTCGTTTTTCTCCGTACAGTTCATTATGATTTTTTTTGCTTATTCCTCTTTTGTATATAGTGATGAAGGAAGGAAGCAAAGACGATAGTAGCGGCAATAGTGACGCACAATTAAGTAGGCTCGATGAAATGCTTACTACTAATTATCAAAATAATTAACATGAAATCTAATCTTTACCTTGGGAAGATATGCTTGAAATAGGAGGATTCGGTAATGATTGTTCGTTATTTGACAATGTTGAATATCTATGAAACAAGAGAGAAAAAAACATAATCATAATAATTTTCACAAAAAAAAACTCGAATTCCTCGGGGATTGAGAGATCTCATGAGAATATGATAAATTAGAAAGGCTGTCGTTTTCATGGCACAAATACACTAAGAAAAGACGACTGAGCGCACAAAGAAAATCAGTGTTTGTTGCTTAGTTTTACCTGATCGGTCGTTTAACAATCATATGTATATCTGGTGATTGCATCGAATGTTGAGAAATAATACGATAAACATCATTATAATTTAAATTTGTTAGTTTTTGTCCGTTCCATTCAAGAACTTGATCGCCTAAAGAGAAGAAAATAGAGAAACGAGAGAATGATGACAAATAGACGTTTGTCTTTTGTTTTTTTTCTACTGTTTCAAAAGCTTACCAGCTTGTAATTGACCACTATTGTCAGCGACACTACCCGGTGTTACTCGAGTGATTTCAGCAACCATTGTTTCAGTTCCATCATCATTCTCCTGACGAACACCACCTTGAACTTTTAGACCTACATAAGAATGAACAAATATATTCATATGTTGAAATAGATGAAAGAAATGTACCTAATGCAGTGAATATGTCCTCTTTCGCCATATTTCCTTGCTCATAGTCTTCACGAATCGCTGGTGACCATGTGTTGTTTTTCAGATGAACATAACCGATTTGTTCTGTTCTACTTTCATTGAAACGCCAAGTTGTTGTTGGCTAAAAATAATTGAATAGTTTGTCTTTTGATAATGAACGTCAATGGAAGACAACGATAATTCACAAGACAGAAACGACACGAAACACAACAATAATTGCCACAAAGATCTCCATAATCAGAATAAATTGTAAAGACCTGACGATATGGATCCGTTGATAAAACATTCAGTATTGTACTCGAACTCGCGGTATCAATTCCTGAATCTTTCAATGTTGTTTCATGTCCGATATCTTTCTCTTCAAGTGAATGGTATTGGAATTCTTTCAAACGGATTTGTGGATGATGGATTGATCGTGACAATGGTAATGATGTAAGAACATCTTCATCAACTTTGTTCACTAGACAGATAAGGATAGACACGAAAAACATTCAAACGATGGGAACAACTACAAGTTGAAGAAGAAGATGAAGCAAACGATAACATGAGGAGAGAGATTTGGGTGTGTATGTGTGTGCATGCATTGAGAACGAAAAAAGAATGATCACATAAATTTATCTATATGAAATGCACCGTAGTGAGAAATTTTTTCAATTTTGCGGCGAGAATTTCATCTTTTTGCCAAGCATCATTGGATAACATATGACCTAGAATATACCAGGCTTTTCTTGACCGAAAGACGATGCTCAAATTATTTGTTATCATTATTATCTTCTTCTTCTAGATGTAGCGCAAGAAAAACATTCTCATGAAAATCCTACCACGTGGCACAGATTCATTATCATCCACATTCGAAGCTGATTCCGGAGAAGACGCAGCATCGTCTTCGTGTTCGGAGCTCGATTCGTCTTTCGACTCTTTTTGTTGTTGTTGACGTCGAATATGTGCTGTTGGAAGTAAACGTTTCCGTGGTTGCGCAGAAGTTGGATTGATTTTTGTATTAGCACCATTTCTGTTCATGTTCATTTCTTCATCTTCCTTTTCATTGCTATCGAATGGCTGAGATAGAATATAATCTGAGACATATTGTTTCGAGATATTTTTCGTATTTTCATCATTGATATTATTCGTATTGATTGCAGTTGTGGTCAATTGCGAAACTGAACTTGTTGTCGGAATCAGTTTTCGTGAAGAAAAATAACGTTCTTGTTTCTGACGACATATATTACAAAGCCAAAATGTCTAAATGAAATGCAAAACACAAGTGAAAAGGTTTTCAGAGGTAATGAACAGTTCAAGCAAACCTTATTGTATTGATGTCCTTTTAGTCGTACACCACATCGAACACAAAAACGTTTTTTACATATTGAACATTGTCTTGCTGATTGTTCACCGACGAATTTCGTTTTTTGACATACTTCACAACAAACACCTGATTCATTCGATAAACTTCCATGAGGATATGTTTTTGCTTGTTGTGAATTTCGACGACCAGCCATAGCCACAGGTGCTGAATAATCATCCATACGAGACCTATAATAAACAAATTTTAAGAAAAAAAAACATGGAACAATTTCATATATTTTACTGTAATGCCAAAGCATCTTGTTTTTCTTCAGCCTTCTGTCGGTTAATAACCGCCTCGATGATTTTTCGTTCATCTTCAGTTAAATGACTTAGATCAGGTGTTATATCCATCGATATTTGTCTATGTACGTATTTTTTGCCTAATTAATTACAGTAGACGACCGTCTTTCGTAGGAGCCTAGAACGAAATCAATGAACGAATCGATTAAACAATAGAAATGCATTTTCTGTTATACCGCAGCCCCGTTGAACCAGTAGGGCGATTATGGTCGACGCCAGTATTGATATCCTATATTGTTGTTCAACTAGTATCCGTGTCTTGATTTAGGATACCATGTGATCTAGAAAATATATGGAAATGACAACAAACAAGTCGACACACTAGTTTTATCTTCCGAGATCTGCAATCAGTATGTATTTGACATTGGAAGTGCAAAGGCTTCACTAGCCATGCTCAGCGCGCCGCTTCCTGTTCTTGTCTTTGCCTTTGCGTTCGTCTGCTCATTTTTCTTGCATGCTATATTTATTCTCATTGGCTGAAGAAATCTGATCCTTTGCCATTAATCGATTCCTCTTTCCTCCCTTTTTCTTAATCGTTTATTTACGAATGATAAACATTGATTTAAGAAAACAATAATTTTTAAATTAATTTTATCGATCAAAAAGCGGTCTTTCCGCTGAATTCGATAGTTTCTATGACAACTGACAATGTAATGGCATAGGAAGACTGTACGATGGAACTATTGACAGCATCCCTTAAAGATGACACGAGTATTTCGCAGTCAAAGTGATCAGTGAGCTCATCCACAATATGGCAACGATCCATTTTGTCAATTGGCTCGACGAAAACAATTTGACCTTGAATTAGAAACTATTCGTGCTCAATCGCGTTCAATTTGGTCCAAGCCTGACACTGCGCTCACAACACATGGTCACTACTCTGCTGATTCACATCCGAAATTAATGTGCATACTTGTCTTTGTCATATTTTGTAGTGTTTTGATGCGAACATGAATGAGAGAAATCCCAAATGCGTATGGTGCACCACCAGCTCGTCCTCCATCACGTGAGTATAACTTTCTGCTGGATCGACTAGGAGAACAACGTCTCGAATTTGCTGCTTTCTCTAGAACAATCTGCTCAAGTGCCACAAGTTCCTGATTATCTCGAACAAATGTCGGACTTATCAACTGTTGAACGACAGGGCGCCAGCGCCTTTCTCAAAGCTGCTAACGAATAAGATTCTAAAGCAAATCTTATGCAAGCAGACGATAGTCGATCAGAATTCTATCCATCGATGGATCGATATCGACAAGCGATTCGAAACGAGAAAGGTTCATTGTTTTTCAGAACTCGCCAAATATTCTTCTTTTGCTTTTGTTCACTATAGAATATAGCGGTGTTAACAGAGCTCTCGAAAAGCCAGAAACGGATATTCAAGTGTCCGAAGATCAGCCTGTTCTCAAACGGAATGTACGCTTTCCCAATCGGCCAACTGTTCATTTTCAACGGCGAACTCATAGTCATACAAACTGTCCGTGGCCACTTGCTCGTCAACCGTATCGTGGTGACTATTCGATTCATATGGATTGGCATCCACGTTTACCTCATCATCGACTAACATGCCTCTGTTAATCAAAAGCGAAGAGAAAACAACGAGACTTTCTTTAACACATAGAAGCATAACTGCAGAGCTGAACATTATATTTTTCGAATAAAACTTTCAACTGTCTACTCGATAAAAGACGATATTCATGTTCTCGATCATCTGACTGAGAAAATTCATCGGGAGTATTAGTTCCGCAGCCACCAAGAAATCGATCGCATGGATGACCTGGATGACACATCAGTTCCACATAGATGTTTTCCGTCTGATTTTTCTCCAACATTTGTAAACATCTTTCGATATTCTCCAATGTGAACTCTTTACCCATCAGCGTGATACCGAGAAAATACTTCGGATAGATCAACGAATGTCGATCAAACACGTTCATCGCCATTCGTGCTTCTTGAACAATCTCTCGATAGAACGACTGCTGACCCATTTCGAACGAATCAATCGTCTGATCATTAGGCACACGAATGTAATCGATATGATACTGTTTAGCAACTCGGGCAACACTTTCAACAATCAGTGGATGAACATGAATATGCTGATGTCCATCAATATGACTTGGGAGCTTCCCACCGGTGAATTCTTTGTATCTATTTATCTGCATCTGTATCTCATGTTGAACATGTTCTCGTCTGATAGTTCCTTGCTCTAATTCTCTACGTAAACCATATTTACCATGCATGAGACCTTGGGTATTGACTAACGATCGAATTTTGAATAGATCATCTGTCACTGGTCGACCTTCAGTTAGATTAAGATGGATACCTACTGGAAGATTGCATAATTTTGCGGCCAAACATGCTTGATATGCGCTAGAACCATTGACAAGAAGACTTGTTGAACATATTGACTGTTGTTTGAACAGATCGATTATAGCTGAATCACGATTTGAACAATATCCGAAATCGTCCGCATTAATGATCAAATATTTGATTTTGTTTGACAGTGACATAAAAAATATTTATAATCAAGTCGCTAAGGTACAAATCTATTTTCTTCTGTCTTTCAATTTGAATTTATCGAGAGTTCTGTGTTTTAAAGGAAGCTATATAAATTCATACGAATGTGGCACTGAATATGCACTGTAGAATTACAGAATGATACGATTTGGCTGGATCGCGGTGAAACTTTCATGGAACTGTTAATTCATTAAACGCCCCAATGGCAATAGATTGAATCTTTTGCAGTGCAAATTTCTACCGAGCAATAAGTTGCAATAGTAATAAAGAAAGTCATTTCTTCTCACAAATATTGAGTGAAAAAGGCGGATATCATTTTTCTCTCTGACTCGCATCAGAAGGATAGTTCAACACTGATCGAACTGAGAAAACTGACGCATCACTTACAACTAAACAAAAACTAAATCTCTTCTTTATTGCAAAGTCATCCTGCTTATTCTTTCACAAATGTATCGACGAATGTCCAGAATTTATGCGAGCTGTCTAGTCTAAGATCAATTCTGTCCCTTTGGAAGAGACTTATTCTCTATAATAGTATACTGTGAATGAAACACTATTCATTAGATCTCAAATGTAATAGTCCGAATCCGACTGAGAAAATCTGTAAAAAGGATCAATCTTTGCATTTTTATACGACTTCAAACTTCCTAGTTGATAAACAAAACCCTTTGTATGGGAATAGTACACCAAAGGCTCGAGAATACATTGCAATGCTTCTCGTACGATACAACGCTGCAAAAAAATAGTTCTTTGACATTTTCCTATAGATCAACTCCCAGAGTGGATAGAGCTGATCACAATCGGCAAAAGAACTTCTTCTCAGAGTACACTAATGGCTGGAAGTGATTTACCCAATAGAATGATTTGAAGGGGATTTTTTAACTATTCTTTCTTCAGTATACCATTCTAGTACCTCTAGAACACGTTGCTACTTTCAAATCCACCATGAAATTCATACATGGTGAATGAATACTGCTCTGTACAGAAATGAACCAAAAACAAATATAATTACCCACCATCAGCAAGTCTTTCTACTCAGCCTTCTGAATACAAGACGAAAGGCTTATTGTATATTAGACTAGACGCGCCCAATAGAGTGCATTGAGATGTAAGCGTTCAGTCCTCATGAAAACCAATATATAAAATATATACGTGCTGTACTATTCGCTCTTCCATTCCACTATATCTCTTTCACCATCGACAAGTTTACTATAATGTTGTCGCACCAGTCACACCTTCTGACAAAAAAATATTTTAAACCAAAACCACTTTTCACAAACACTCCACATGATAGCACATTCACCAACATACAGTGCTCTATTGCACCCTCTTCAACAAACCACTTTCTCATGTATTCACGCTGAATAAACCACATACATATCTAATCCGATGACGAGTGTTATCATTCAGGTCATATATATTTCACACAACCAATAGAGTTCTTTATTCACACAAGGTAGTCGACAAAGAAAGTTTATCAAGTTTTCAATTAAATCGCATTCTCTACTTACAAAGAGAGTCATTAGATTTCTTACCACTTGCTCTCGAATTTCATTTTTCCCAAGACTTATGCTATTCACTGTCTAAAAGATGACCAAAACGAATATGTTAAACTTCATCAAGCACTGCATCAATATTACCGTGTTCGTTTTCAACACCTCCGTAATGTGTTGTGTTCCTGGATTGGGGTTTAGTCCGTCGTATAGGTTAAGTGTGGTCAGTATCTAAGTTCGAAGGAATATATTCTGATATGTTTGTGAGGCAGCAGACATCTTAGATGGTGGTTCGTGCCGGATATGTGTGACGTCAGATAGTTATGTCGATATCGGTATTTTTGGGACGGATCAGAGAAAGCTGTGAGTTACTTATATTGGCTGTCGATGAATGCTCTCGTACAAGGCAGGAGTTGCCTAATTCGACTTATATTATAAATGGGCCTTCAACAGACTAGTATCTATTCGAATATAAATGCATAATAATTGAAATAGTTTTAGGAATAGATTTAGTTTTACTCATACATACATACCCCCACACCCCTGTGAGTTTAGGAATAGAAATAGATTTAGTTCTACTTATACATACATACCCCCACACCCCTGTGAGTTTAGGAATAGAAATAGATTTAGTTCTACTTATACATACATACCCCCACACCCGGGGATATATCGCGATTGAGGGTGCCGCGGTGGGTGTACACGGGGTATATCTCGATTGAGGGTGCCGCGGTGGGTGTACACGGGGTATATCCGATTGAGGGTGCCGCGGTGGGTGAGGGTATATATGTATAAGTAAAACTAAATCTATTTCTATTCCTAAACTCACAGGGGTGTGGGGGTATGTTTGTATGAGTAAAACTAAATCTATTTCTATTCCTAAGCGTGGTAGGAATTGGGCACTTATATTATAAGTCGAATTAGGCAGCTACTCGTACAAGGCGTGTTCCCATGAATGATTCGAAACGCACCGTGTTCAGAGTTGATGTTTTGTGCTTGGAGAAAGTGATAGGGAAACCGAGATGGTACGTGGGCGTGAACTGAAGGGATGCAAATAGTGCGACGCGGTATTCAAAAGCGAGGAAATGTAAGTGAGATATCTGTTAGAAAAATGGGCGCTAATGTGGAAGAATCTGGTTTACCATGGATGAATGGACTGGTGTTACTCAAAGGTCAAGTTGTATTATCGAACTTCTCACTTTTAGTACATCGTTTTTTTTGTGCGTGTGAGTTGCTCAAAATATTCATTCTACATATTCACTTCGTATACTGCAGAGAATGGTACTTCTATTTTTCCCTTTTCTGAAAGAAAGGGTTATAGCGACATAAATACAGTCGTGAAAATGCACAAAGTTTGTTTGTTTGCATAATCCAATCAGATTGCAGCATATTATAAATCAATGAAATTTATCTATAATCATCAAAGATTGACCACTGATGAGGTAACCGAGGTCGAGGATTACGAATCTGAGGTTACTTTTTCGAAATTCCAATTACCTAATTAGCTAATTACTAATTAAAGAATGAAAATCTTTTTAGTTATCGAGTAAGGGTTGACCGAAGAGTAACCAAGGTCCAGGATCTCGAATCCTATGTCAGTTTTTCGAGACTTCAAACAGCTAATTAGGTAATTACTAGTTAGGCAATGAAAAATTTTTTGGTTGTTGAGTAAGACTCGACCGAAGAGTAATCGGGGTCGAAGATATCGAATCTGGTGTTAGTTTTTCTGTAGAAAAATTCTGTTCTGTTTTTTCAGAAAAAGTACGATTTTTTGCAAGGAAGATTTTTTGTGGACGATAGTGTTTGAAGCAGCAATATGTAGAACAAAACGAAATAGCTGATTAACGTCCGACTGCTGGATACTCATACTCATCAGCATATTGATAACATTACAATTACATAAACAGCTATATTACACAAACATTATCTGCTGCTAACCACTCGAAATAATACTTCCTCTAACAAATGTTGTTTTGGACAGTTACAATGGCACAACATTGGTGATTCTTTAACAGGGAATGAAAGGAAGTGGTTTGATTGAATTTGAAGGGGATTTTAAGCTAGATAAAAGAATGAAAGTTGGACATGTCACAGCTAGTCGCGAGTGGCTGGCTGGGGGCAGACCGACGAGCGACCAGGCGCTCGTTTGGGTGGCTTAGAAGAGATAAAATAAGTGTAAGTAAATTGATTTTTGATTGTAAATAGTGGGAAGAGAGTCGATTAGTAAATCTTTAGAAACAGTGTTCCTTTTACTCACGTCTTTGGACAAATGAATTGAAAGCAGTTTGACATGAATAAAGTAGAAAAAGGATTAAAAGAAAAGAATGTGCATAAAAATGGCTTTAATTCGAAGCGGATTAGAGTGAGATATACGTTGGAGTTTTTATTTGAGTCTTGTAATTCTTTCAGAACAGGGTCAGCGAATCCAACAGGTGAGCGCTACTTGTTGGTAGTAGCAAACGAAACAATAAAGTTTATTTTTGACTCAGATTGACAAATACATTTAATGAAAACTAATTTACAATAAAGGAAAATATGCATTATGATCTTTCAAGCCAACACATATAAGTAATATCAGTTGTTCCAATCTCAAGTGAGGTAAGATGACGCTATTGAACGATTTCATTCGACTGAATTACTACCAGATGATTTCTCCACATTATTTGACTGCGGAGTAGTATTCCAAATACAAAAGGCTTTTTACCAATGGAAAAGCTTTAGCTATTCTAAGAAAAAAGAACATATTCAAATGACGTCCAGTCAGCTACATATAGCTCAATAACGTAATTGAACACGGTATTTGTAAGTATATTGTCAATAAAGCAAAGCTTTCCAAAGTCAAAGGGTAACGTATATACATGATATGTAATTGAGAAACTACGGGTAATAACACCTGATATTTCGTGATATCCAATATTCATGAGATTTCATTTATAAGATGTATATAGAATTCATCCCATGTTATCTGTTTTTAACCCCCTGAGAACGGATGACGTATGTATACGTCTGGGTTGAAATCAACTCATAATTTATTTGCGTATTCTCTTTCTCGTAGAGAAGAGTCTTAGAAACATAAATTGTTTCCTTACTTGCTTGCTTGCTTGTTTGCTTGTCTGTCCGCAGGGTGAAAAAAACATTGAAAATCGATTTTTCCGAAAAGACATTTCCAGATGTATTTCGATGCGGAGACTTCGAATCTGATGTTATTTTTTTAAAATTTTTCATAAAAACTGATTTTTTACACAAAGAGCCGCTTTTTACAAAAAAAAGCTTTTTTATAAAATTTAACTAAGGAGTTATTTGGGTCGATGAACTCGAATCTGGCGTAATTTTTTTTGAAATGTTTACATGGATTAGTTTTTTTATACAAAGGGCGACTTTTTTGTAAAAAACAGTTTTTTTTATAAAAATTTACCAAAGACTTTTTGGGGTCGGAAAGGACAAATCTGATGTTACTTTTTTGAGAATTAAAAAAATTTTTTCAAACGAAGGATACCGATTTTCAGAAAAACATTTATAACTTGTATGATACCGGGTATAGTCAAGTGTATAAGTATAATGAATAAAATATTGTGTTCAAGGTCTCGTTATGTAATAATTAGTAATTACCTTTCGCAAACGGGTTTTGAACTAGCGTCCATCTATCAAATAACAAGACCGAGCTTCTACCCGGTCTCTTACCCTTCGTAACCAACATGCTTGTACTTCTCACCGATAACATTTCGTGTGAACTAGCGCTTTCGAATGGTACACAAGGAATTTTTCGAGAGCTCGTATACGATGATCAGGAGGAGCTAGGGGATTTTAAGATAAAGAGCGATGTATTTCCCTCCAATACAATATACATACGAAAACCATTATATGCACTTTTGGAAATTAATACATCACAAGTAGAAACAAATTTTGATGGTCTTCGCCCTAAACTTCCTATTCCATTAATCAAAAAGCGATTCACTGTTCCTATAAAGCAACTCTTCGGACATTTACTCGATCGAGTGCAAAGTGGGAGAAAAATTCCACAAGTCATTCAAGTTACAAGAACGCAACTACCAATTGTACCTGCCTTCGTTATAACCACATACAAGGCGCAAGGACTCACAATGAACAAAATCGTAGTCGATCTTCAAGTTCCACCTGAGACACTGCAAGTAGCATTGATATATGTACCACTCAGTAGAGTGAAGAAAGGGGATCATATAGTTATCCTTCGACCTTTCCACATGAAGGTTCTACAAGTTCAACCTTCTTCTGCGCAAGACGCTGAACTGAAACGTTTAGATGAACTTGACAAAAAGACAAAACGAGAGTGTACCTCTTTCATTTATTTGTAGTTATATTCATCACTTCTAATTTTCGCTATGTCATAGTCCACTGCTATCATTTATCGTCTATTTTTTGTTTATCTTCGCACACATTGTCTCTTGCATCCACCAGAGTGTGTAAAGTCTTGTTTGCTCTATTAAAAATAATCCTGACCTCAAGGGGTTAATGTTACCAGTGAAATCAAATCGTGGAAAATAATTTTAGTAAGAGGGACTATGAATGCGCATCAATTAAGGAATAAAATAGATTTTCAGACAAATCACATGAGCAATCTGTATTTCAGCAAAGGAAAACCGATGCTGAAGTACTAGAACAATGTAGTTCCATTCGTTTCATAATTTATTGCAGAAAACATAGAGTAAAATATTATGAAACCTATATAACATAGCACGCTTTACATAAAATACTATCCTCCACAGCTAAATAATACATCAGGTACTATTTTTGCCCTTCGTCGTAACTGCTCGCATTTGTATATCACAGTTATTATATTGTAAGAAACT